TTTGTCCTGAGTTGGTGCTCTCAGTTGGGTTCCGCCAGAACCGCATTGTCACACCCGGGCTTCCTGCTGAACTGACATCTGGGTCCTTCCCCACTTACCCCACAGCAAGTCCTCTTGGCCTGCCTCTCCTCCAAGTCCAGTTCCTGTTCTCATTGCTCCGAGCGGTCACCTAGCCTCCGCTCCTCCAGCTCCAGCTCCTTCACTCTCAGCACCAGTTCCCATCTCTTCACATCCACTGGGGGGAACCCCGGTGGGAAGCCCCCCTCCTGGCTGGGGAACTGGGTCCCGGACCCCCTGCTGCTCCCCAGCTCTCCGGGCAGCCCAGGAGCCTGCTGGGATCTGGAACTTGCTCCTCCGACCGGTCACTCTCTACCAGCCGGGCAATCAGCTGCCCTGGGGTGACCCTCCCCACGCTCAGCCCTCTCCCCCTGCACAGACTTACCAGGTCCCTTGTAGGGAGCTGGTTCTAGGTCCTTTCCTTGCTGGTTCCTTCAATCCCCTCGTTTTATCGCTGGCAGATAGGAAAAGATTCCAGGGTGTGCGCAAGACCCCAGGTGTCCCCGACAAGGAGCTCACCACCCTGCTGGGAGAATACCCCCGCCTGTGGGGAAAGGGTGCGGGGCCACTACCGCAGAGGGCGTGGATCATCTGCCGGGATTGGAGCAGCTGTTTAACATCTGCCCTCCAGACTTTAAGATGTGGTTAGTGGACCAGGTGTGCTGGCAAACGAGCTTATAAACAACAGATCTGGCGTGGGGGGAGACCCAAGTCGGGGACTCAGAAGGGGAGTCACCCAGAGACCTCTCGGAGGTGGGACTCTAGGGAGCCCAATGTGGGGAGCCCATGAATGTTGGAGCAGGCAGCCCCTCCATGGGACCCGAGGGGTGGAGGGATGTAATTATTGTGGGCAAAAGGCACTAGGTGGTGCAGTGCCCACAGATAAAGGAGATCTTGGCCAGAGAGAGCCCACAATACCGGCTCTCTCAGCTGTTTGTCTATCCCTCAGCTCTGTCCCTTTGGAGAAAGTGGTCACCCAGCCAGGTCCTGGGGCAGAACTGGCCAGGGAGGAGTGGCAGACAGGCTTCCACGCCAAGCCCAGCAGATAGGTCTGCTTGTACCCCCTGGATTCAGCCCCTCTGATCCACCGTGGGAGCGGCAGGACGGGACCAGCTGGGAGATATTCATGGGGTGGAGACATTCTGGGACTGAGAACTCGGTGTGGTAGATGCTGAGGGACTGAGGGGGAAAGCTCCCAGATACACAGCCATTCGCCCTGCCCCCGCTCCGATCCCTGGGCAGACACGGGGGGGTGGGGGGTGGAAGGGGGGCTGGTAGCTGGGGACTTGGGACAGGCTCCAGTAACCACCAAAGAGCTGACCCCAGAGACTGGAAGGCAGAGGGGGCTGGAGCTAGTGAACAGCTGAATGGCCCGGCCGGTGGGGCGGAGGGAATTTCCCCTGTGAAGTCCAGGTTACCTGCCTGTCTGTAGCCAGACCCCTGGGTGGACCCAGACCCAGTAGTGCTCAATGCATACCTAGCCCTGGGGGGGTGGTGGTGGTCAGGCCCCTGGTTAAGGTCCTGTAGCGAAGATACATCTGAAATGGGGGGCCCAGAGAGGTTGGGCTGCACGACCTGCGGAGGTGCGGATGGGGGATGGATTGGAGACCTGGCCAGACAGCCCCTGGACCTTGGCTGTGGCTGAAGGGAGTGGGGTGGTGCTTGGCCTGGCACCGGCAATGGGTGGAACCTCCAATGGGGGGAGGCGATTACCAGGAACCGTGCTTAACAGGGCTGGGAACGAGGCTTTGTCCTGAGGTGGGGAAACTGAGGCACAGCCCGCGAGGGCTGGGCCCAAACCCAGCAGCTGAGCTCCAGACCGAGCAGCAGAAGAATCCCTCCTTGAAGAAGCTGAGGGCCCTTGTGGGCCCCAGTGTTGCAAGACCCTGGGGAAGAATGGCAGGGAAAGATCCCTGTAAGCAAAGGGATCTGGTCCTGGGAAAACTGAACCTTGCGGGATCAGGGGGCAGCTGGTGGTTGCCCAGAAGTACCATGTCCCTCCCTGTAAACATCAGGGGGCCAGTGGTGTATGGAAGGACAGTGAGAGTGGGAGGGGAATTGGGGGTGGAGTACGTCCCAGGGAAAGCTCACCGAGCCCATGGGCTTGGCCAGGAAGACCCTAGCCAGGGCCCAAGGGAAGCAGAGGGGCTGGTATGACAGCGTGCTGCCTCCTCTGGCACCGGGGACCAGGGCAGGGGTCTCGGCTCCATGCGAAGGGCGCCTGGGATGGGCCCTGTGAAATCATGAACCAGCAGAAGGAGGTGAGTCATGTCCTGGCGCAGCCCACTCGGGCGCATGTCCCATGTGGACACAAGAAGCCACACGTTGACAGGGAGCAGTGGGTGCTGGTTGTGTGTGGGCACGGGGAGGAGAAGGCGGGTGGGGGGGTCCCCCGTGGGTCTCTTCCCTGAGACAGGAGCCAGCCTCCCGCTGGAATCAAGCCCCCTCTGCCCAGCCAACCCCTGCCCGCAGCTGCCCCCCAGCCAGCCTGGGCTCACTAGTCTAGCTGTCCACGGGGAAGGGGAGACAACACCTCCCCCCACCAGGTGTTCCCCATTCCCAGTCACCAGGAAACAGCCCAGGCCCGGACGAGAGAGGTCAGAGACATGCTGGCTCTAGGGGAGGGCCAGCCACCCACCAGCCCTGGGCCTCTCCCGTGGGGCTGGTCCCCAAGGCCGGGTCCATCAGACTCTGTGCGGACTCTCGGAAGCGCAATGCCATCAC